CTGCAGGTTGCTCTGAGGTCTCCACACAACCTTCGCTTCTCCAGGCTGAACAGCCCCAACTCCCTCAGCCTGTCCTTGTAGAGAAGGTGCTCCAGTCTCTGATCAGCTTTGTGGCCTCCTCTGGACTTGCTCCAACAGTTCCATGTCCTTATGCTGAGGACACCAGAACTGTGTGCAGCATTCCAGGTGAGGCCTCACAAGAGCAGAGTAGAGGGGGAGAATCACCTCCCTCAACCTGTTGCCCACACTCCTTTTGATAATTGGAATTAATCAAAGTTAATGTAACTTTAGTGTAAAAGTAGTATTGATATTTTTTTTTCCTTGCTAGAGCTGTTCTGAATGTTGGAACAGAACCAGCATTTGGGTGTTTTTCACTGGAAATTAAGTTTTTGTGTGTTTGTCAAGAATATGCATGAAAATTAAACAGCACTTGCTCCTAGATCTAGGGAGTGGTCATTGCTTCTCAAACACTCCTGTAGGCCGTGTGGAGTATAGGAAGGCCAAGGAGGGATCCTCCAAAATGTCCCTGCTCCTCCTTTGTGCATGACCACCACTTTTTGGTCTGTTTTCTTCCATCCAGATGCCCAAGGGCACTGACCGGAACTGGACACAGAAGCTGTACAACCGTCACACTGGCAGCCCACACTTCCAGAAGCCTCGAGCGTCCGGCACCTCCTTCATCATCCTGCACTTTGCTGATAAGGTACCCAGGGGTGGTGAACTCAGAAATGGGAAATAGATGGAGGGTAAATTGGTTTGCAGTCCCAGTGAGCTGCATTGTGGTGATAGGGATGCCTGGTTGGCAGCAATCTCAGTTTGGTGCTCAAGTCTAGATCAGCTCTGAGTACTTCAGCCTGCAAACTATGGCACTAAGCTCTAAATGGTTGTGGTTTCTAGAGGAGACAGAAATCCTCTTTCTCAAAGCTGCGGTGAAATGAATTTCTCTAAGTGCAGCTTGACAGAAAATGTATTAGAAAAGGGAATTATTTTTTTAAAGCAAGAGCTGTGAATGTCAGCAAGTCATGGTGGGGAGGAGCACTGAGTGGTGACCCTGGGGTGATCCCACTTTTCTGAGGGAGAAGATGCCAGCTGTGGGACTACACTAAACTAAATCCCACTGTCTGGTGCTTTAGGGGCTTGTCCATGGGCTCCACCTTCATCCAAAACCTGACGTGGCAGGTGTCACTCACAGCAAATAAGAATCTTAAAAGCTTGCAGTTCTCCAAAACACATCTTTGTTAGAAAACAAAATGTGAGACCAGCCCGGAATGTGTCTGAGGAACTGGACGGACAGGCAGGTGTTGTCATGACATATAGGTGCTTCTCCTAACCAGCTTTGCCCTGGATGCTAGAGGCACTTTTCATGGCAAAGGCTGCTACTCACCTTTCCTTAGGCAAGTGGTTTTGCACATTTATTGTTCACAAACAATATCTCTTTGCAAGTTTTCCTTTTTTTTTTCCCCCTTGTGGACACTTATTTCATCCAACTTCAAATGTAAAAAATTAAATTGTCTCCTGTCCCCTCTATATTCCAATCCTCTGCAGTTTCAAAACCCAAGAGACCTACAAGAGACATAGCCAGGTCATCTTTCAAGGTTTATTGATTAACTTACAAGGAGCCCAGGAATGAACAAAAGAGTATGTAGTGGTACTGATGATCTATGCATTTTTTACTCCTGGTTTCCATACAGTCTGTTTTTAATGACTCAGAAACAATCTGTGTTTGCAATAAGGATTTTGCTTCACTCATGTTCACTTTCTTTGATAAGAAGTGACCTCTGAATTCCAGTTGTTCCCCACTTGCCCTTGCCAGGTTTTTTTTTTTGGGTGGGCTTCTGACAGCAGAGGGCAATGAGAGCACCTTGTTCCTGTATGGCTGGACTTCACCCCCTGAGCTTCTTCCTTTTGTGTCTCCTCCTAGGTGAAATACGAGAGCATAGGGTTTCTGGAGAAGAACAGGGACACTGTGCATGAGGAACAGATCGACATCCTGAAAACCAGCAAGGTAAAAGCAGCAAGTCAGGGCGGTGCTCCTGGCTGGAGCTAAATCATGCATTCCTGTGCCCACCACAGCATGCCAAGTGGGTGAACATGCAGCTACCTCAGACCACTAACAGCAGCAAAAGAGGCAAATAAAAGGAATGTAGAGGAAGGAGGAAGTGGGTAGAGGACGGTGCTGGAGGATATGGTCACACCCATGTGTGTGTGTGCATGGTCCTCTGCTTTCTTTCACTCTGGAGTCAGTATCCTGTCAAGATGCATCTCAAAAATAACTTCCAAACCCACTGATCCTTTTCTTTTTGTGTCACCAAGAGCCAAAATTAAGAACAGGTTGTTACAAGGCATTGTAAATCTCACTTAACTCTTGCTTGGAGCTTCCTCAAGTGTCACCTGGCACTGAAGGTGTTATAGAATCACAGAATGATTTGGGTTGGAAAGGACCTTAGAGATCATCTAGTTCAAATCACCATGGGCAGGGACACCTTCCACTAGACCAGGTTGCTCAAAATCAAGGTGATCCTGGGGTTAAAAGCCGCAGTCAGCTGTGTAGTCTGTATATTGTGGATAGCTTTGCTGACCCTGCCACCCTCTTTCATGGAAATGGCTGTTCCCCTTAGCTGCAGTTTGTCACACTTGGCCCTGAGTCTTTTAATTACCTTAATAGTTAGTATGCAAAAATAGAGTTAATATGCAGTGCTGGATATATGAATTCTGAGACATCCCAGCTGCTGTTTTACACCTCTGGCAATACATAATTTTAACACATGTTGATGATCACACTTGCTGTCGCTTCTGTGTTACAAGATTTTGTGCCATGTACCTTTCCTCTCCTGAGTATCGTACAAACAACTTTTCAACATCTCACTGCATCAATGGGGATGTATTGAGTGACCTTGAATACCAGGTGTCCTGGTAAAGAGCTTCTTGGCTTCTGAGGTTTAAAGTGTCGGGTAGTCCTGAGGGCTGTGAATTTGGTGAGGTGTTGGAAGCAGAAGAGCAGTAGCTGTGGGGCTCTGCAGGCTTTGGGGTGGGTTGTTCCTGCAGTCGGGCTTCAAGTTGGAGACTTTATGGTTGCATATATAAGCTGAGCAAATTTTACACTGACTTCCAGTACCATAATCTTCTTCTTCATGAGTACTTGCATGGATTGGGTTAAAAAGTGTCAACATAAACATCTAAGGAATTTCAAATCCTTGTTGGTTTAAAACCAGACACATAGTTCTTCCCTGTAGCATTCTCAGTTAATGAGCTGAAACTTTAGACAACCTCAGCCCTTCCAAGTGTTAGTATGAAAATTCAGTTCTGTGAAGTCCAACTCACCATCCAGCAGACAAAATCAAGGCCCCATGACCCTAGGGCACCATTGTTCTGCCCAGCCTTTTACGTGTTTTAAGGAAGGAATACATCTGATTTCTCCAATCCATTTTCAAAGCCTTCCCCAGTGTGGGCCAGAACGTTAAATTAGTTTTGGGTTTATATGCATTACAGTTTTTGAATCCCCTCTGCATGTTGCAAGGGATGCCATCCAGGGGGACCTTGATAGGCTTGAGAAGTGGCCAATGCAAACCTCATGAAGTTT